TATTTCTGCAATTTTTGTTTCTGTTATTTGTTTTTTCTTATATTCTTAACTTTACGTTCATATTCTTAACTTTTCACAACTTTTAATATGTATTTTCCCTTCTAACTTTTGAAGATTTAAAGTGCTGTTTAAGGTACACGATTTTACACGAACACAGAAATGTCTCCACGCTTTTTTTTATAGCTTATTTCGAAGTTTTTTTCTTCGCTTTTAAACGTTCTTTACAAAGAATAAATTCTGAAAAAAGTCAAAGAAATATTTCGTGATCGTTCTTGTTTCATACGTCGCTGCATAGACTAAGGGCAGTGAAGCGCTCCACCAGTTAACAGATCACGCACCAGTTCTAGCACCAATAACAACTCAATTATAGAAGTGCAAAGAAACAGATGGCAATAAACAACCGCAATGAAATAAAAAAAAAAGAAAAAAAAAATGAAGTAGCTAAACAGAACTGGCAACACTTTCTCATATTTCCGGTTTTCAGCGCCATCTCTTTTAGACTTAAGCCAAGGAATGGATCCTTCCTGAAGGGGGGGATGCTCCATCAATCTGGATAAGTTACTAGAAGAGCCACAGCCCGAGGCACCCTCCCTCCCACTCTGTAGGTGTCTTTGATGTATTTTTTCCTGCACACAAGTCGTTAGAGGGTAGAAAAGGAAACGTTTGAATGCGCTTCCAAACCATCTTCCAGCTTTGGCGGTAATCTCCAAAAGAAATCGATATTCAGATAAATCGATCGGGATCAGAGTCGATTTAATTAAGACGGATTAATGTCGCGTGATCGATCTGATCGAATTTTAATCGATTATTACTTTAGCTCGTTTTCTATCGATTTTTAAAGTAGAGAATGTCGAAACTCAGCGTGTGGTACAGGTTGTGGTATAACGGACTTCTTACTGATAAAAGGAATAAGATCCTATCTAACCTGCACTTTTTCACATCTTTAAACTGTTTATTTCTTCCATTTTTTGGAACTTTGTGTGTAATTTTCACAATTATAAACCTTTCTCTTGGCTTAAAACTTGTATTACTTGATTTATATGCTGTTTTTACACAATTAAAGAGTGTAAAAACAGCAACATCATCACGTAAATCAGATGCTCTTCTTACCACCTGTAAGTGTTTTAGTACACATAAAGCTTAAAAAAAGGCTTGTATTTTAGTATAAAGTCTTTCTAATTAGCACAATTCATTGGCTTTAACCCAGACCATTATTGTTATACATTTTTCATACATAATATACTAATATTTACATTCATTATTTCAGATAAAGGAAGATCCGTAAAAGCTTTATAATTGCAAAATGAAAAAAAAAAATTATAGAAAATACTGAAAATTGGAAGAAATGGGCACTTAGAAGATATAAGAAAACACAGGTTAGAAAGGATTTTATTGTAAAATTTAATTTAAAATGCATTGATTGATACCTCTAGTGCTTACTGTAACAAAAAAGAGTTAGGCATTATTAAAAGGAACAGTAAAATAATGTTCCTTCAAAGGTAATCTATAAAAAAAAAACCACAGAATTTACTGCCTGATCGAGATTTATTCCTTCAATTTAACTTAATAAAAAGCTTAAATTAAAAGGGTTCAAGACCCGAATTTTAACTAGAGCATTTCCATTAAAGGTTAAAACTGTTGCTTGTTTTTTTTTTTTTTATTGGGAAAAGGAAGTTTCTACAAAAAAGAAAAAAAAAGGAAAAAAGAGGAACAGGAAAAAAAAATCACACAAGATGAAGTAATCAAATTCCTAAGAAATGCTTTTATGGAGTAAATTAAGTTTAGGTAAAGTTAAGATATCATAAAAAGGAAATTTTCGGTGTTGATAGAAGCAAAGCAAAGTGTATTGAATGCAGCCTTGCCTCATTTAACTGGCTCTTGCATGCAGCAGGCATAATGGAGAGAAGTTCATACATCATCCATTCACAATGTGAAGTTTTCGACCACAAATCACGGCTACATGTCTTTCTGGATATCCAAGAAGATTTAATTTTCCATGAAAATTGAAATTGTGTTTCTGAAAGAGATCTTCTTCTTCTCTCTCTCTCTTTTTTTTTTTTTTTACGTTTGTTTGAATTTTTGATTTTATCTGATGTTTCGAAAATACCTTCTTTCACCCTGTTTTACTTCAACACGATAGTTAGAATACGTGAATTCATCCTTACAAGTTATCGAGTGTCGTTTCTTGTAGGATTTCTGCTTTTTTAACATGAAAAATAAGTCGAATTTGTTATTCTTCCTACAAAAAAAAAGGAAGGGGGGGGGGAAAATATTATGTCTTTCAGAATTTGTATGGATAATTTCATTTACTGAAGCATTAAAATATCTTTAGAAATTTGAAGACTTTTATTAATAGATTCTATTACAAGTGGAAACTCTTTCTTATAATGGAATCTATTAATTTTTCTATATTGAAATCCTTAAAATAATCAGTAAACTAAAGTATTAAAGATTTTAAATGAATCAGCACTTTAGTACAGATCCTCTTCAAGAAATAGAATCTGCATCATTGAAAAAAAAACTTTACAAATTATAAAATTTCTCTATTTGTACAACAGTTAAATTTTTACCCAAGAAACACGACCCTTTACACGGATTTTTACACAGTAACTAGCTTTTAAATTATTAGATTCTTACACAAAAAAAAGTCATTTAGAGGGGGGAAAAGAATTCAATTTTCTCACAAGGATTTCGATAAAATAAACTATTACATTTACTCTACAAGGATTTTATTCCACAATAAACTTTTGTTTAATCGAAAACAACTATCTTTCGTTACAAGAATTTTAATCGCGAGATGAGTAATTAACTTAATATCATTCCATTACAAGGTTTGCAAGATTTAGCTTTAAGGATTTTATCTCTAAAAACCGAGTCATAAATCTTTACAAAAAAAAAGAAGAAGAAGAAGAAGAAGGAAGGAAAGGAAAAAAAGTCCACTTATAAAGGTTTTTTTTAATCGGGAAGCAAGTTGTAAATCGCTATATCCGACACTAGGAATGAGGTTACTAACAAAACTCGCAAGTTACAAGAGGAAGAAAGGAGATAAGCAGGAAAAATTGCTCACTGTTCTCTAGAGTTGGTGGTAATAGACAAGGATTACTACTGCAGCAATAAAAATAAACACAGTTTCGCCTTTCTTATAAGACAGACAGCAAAGAAAAGAGAGTCATCAGATGCAAAAATTTACGCAGAAGTAGCAGAATAAATAACGGAGGTTTTTAAAGAAAACAGAAACTAAGAATAAGCATTGAAAGTGTTGAAAAGACGGGCAGAAGATAGACAGGTAAAGAAATGAGTCAGAAGAAAGATTTGTTCGAAGGGGACAGGAGAGCAAACAGAAGTCCAGATCCTAACGAATGAATCGGATAAAGAAAAGAAAAAAAAGAAAATAAAATCCACTCGCCCTTGTTTTCTCGTCTCACTCTATCTACCTAATGATACTGAAACAGCAAAGGAACGTAATAACAAATCAAAGTTTGCTAAAAGGAAGAATTCCTGTGTTAGAATTTGTCCTAATTAAACAATTAAGGGGTATAACAAGTTAAGTAACTTAGCAATAATCGATTTATAAGTAATTTCATCACTTAAATCACCACCTAATAGACTAATGGATGAACCGGTTAGATTTGTTAGTTCGACTGTAGTAGTTATATTAATACATCTTCCATCCCCCTAAACTAATAATCGATTGACAGATGATTGACAAGGTTATAGTTCAGGAGGAGGAGGAGGAGGAGGAAGAAAATACCTTATTTTATATATATATATATATATAAAGGAGAGAGAGTAAGGGAGAATCGATTTTTGAGTAACTGGAGTGATATTATTACCCCAGTCACGAAAAACCATTCGACAAAAGAGTTTACCTGAAATCACGATCTAAAGAAGTTAAGGTATGAAGGACCTCCTTTCTCTTCCCCCATTTTTTTTTGAGGAAAGGGAATGTTTTTGATGATGTCATTCATTCTGTGACGAGTTTGTGAGTGTAATTTGGTTCTCGCTTCGGACTTGTACTAGGAACTATTGATGTAACAACATAAGATTTAGAGTTCTTTCCTGCTGTTATCCATCAAGTTGTCACACGGAGACATTACAGAGTTGTTATAATACATCAGATACGTCCAGTGCTGGTACCAGGTACATCTGTTTAAGTACGACACGCCGTTATAACGTGCAGAGCGACGCCTACACTGTCAAATCTAATTTCATAAACAAATATTTTTGAATAATTGTCGTTGTTGAGTTAATAAATGTTACAGTTTTCGTTTCTATATATATTTTTTTCTTTATGTTTTTTATAAAATAGAATTAATAATATACGATGTAGAACATTTTTGTTTTATTTCGGAATATTTATAAAAAAAATGACGTTTTTATGCATTTTCATGCAGGGGGCGCTTTGATGAGAATTCATCTCATAAATATGGCGATTACACGTGGGTTTGGTAATAGAATTTATAGGCTTATAACTAGAACCGTTTATAGGAATATTAATGAAGTTAGCATTAATGGGCGCTTGTTTAAATACAGCACGGTGCTCATTCCAGTTATTATGAAGATTGAACAATAAAAAGTTCCATTTGAAATAAATTTCTGTGCATTTTAGAGATAAAAAAAAATGGCCATATTTCTTTAAGGATTGAAATACTTTCGTCTAAATTTTACATTATATAAACCTGTTTTTATGTATTATGTAAATAGATACAGTACAGTACTTCAAAACGTAAAAACAGGCATAAAGATATACAGTAATTGTCATACAATACCGTGACAGGAAGGATGATTACAGCAGCGCTTTTTTGCTCGTAAATCCTAATTTTAAGCTCAACTACCGGGTCGATTTTCTTGAAACATACGAAAGAGAATAGTGCCATATCTGGTAGCTTATACATAAAACTATAACTGAAATAACTCGTATATTCCGTGTCGTAGACTCGGAAACATTATCATTTTTTTCATGAATATAAACAATAGTTTTGTAAATAAAGCATACTTACATTGAATGTTGATCTGAGCAGCCTGACTCACCAGCGAAATGCCGGTCGATATATTAGTTGCAATGCACTTGAATTCACCCAAATCATGCTGGGGATCGACTCGAGTTATGTGCAAATTACTTCCCTGTTGAAATCTTCGAGTCGTATTCTGTACCTTCTCGTCTTCGAGCATCCAATAGAAAGTGATGTGTTTGTTGTTCGATACGCCACACTCCAACGTGGCACTGTGACCCTTAATTACTTCCAAATCTCGCGGCTGGGGGCTAAAATAGAAAGTGTCTTGAGCCGCCACACCTGTCAAGGAAAAAAAAACAAAAGCAGAAAATTGATTAAGGTATAACAATTAGCATGCTAATGTCAGGGAATTAGTGCGTTTTATCTTTTCCGACTATCTAGGAAAAGCAGTGTATTCGGGAGGAGGGAGAGACAGACTGCAGTCGTCATAAAACTTTTATTGCATGGGACTACACAGCTGCCATTTTTCTAATGGTGGGACCGGTAATGAACAGGAGGGCGAGGGAACACTTTTACAACATCACGTTTGTGTGTCCAGAGTCCAAAGATAAAAGAACTCGGACCAAGTGAAGCGTGACCACTTCAGACCCCTTTAAAAAAAAGAGAGAGAGAGAGAGAGAAATAGAGAGATGGGGAGGAGAAAGACAAGAATGGAAAAAATATACAGAGAAGAAACATAAAATGCGAAATAGGCAAAAGGTTTACGCCCAAATTGATGTGCTTCTTCCCGCATTAAAGTGGCCCTATTGAGAAAAAGATTCGATTTTTGTGTACTCAATCATTCCACCCAATAAAAGATTGGATTGTAAAGATGCAGTTGTTGTGTTTTGTTTCTTTCTCCCCCCCTCTTAAACTTGGTTTCTGTAAGCGAGCCGAATAGAAAATTGGAATTTTTTTTTTCCTATTTGTTAAAGCGTTGTTGCTTCCTAACACAACCTGATGCTCTTAAATTTTTTTTCCTTCATATTTTATAATTTTGACTGACACTACTGCGTATATCTTGAATGAAATTTTATTTTATTTATTCTAGTTTTTTTCTCCCCTCCTTGCCAGTTGTAAAAGTTTTGGATCCTTCGTAACTCGCGCTGCAAATAAAATCGATTTTTCGTGTTAGGGAAGAGGAATAAATGGGCTCGGGGCTGTGCCAAGACGAGTTTTAATACATGCCCTGTTAAGGGATCCCTGTTAGCGTTATGTGTATATTCAACATGGGAACTGTTCGCTTTTGTTAAAGGGGAATCCGTAAGAAAGTTCAGAACTCCAGTCCGTTGAAAATCAATAAATGTATATTTTTTTTATTTTCGGATGTTAATCAAACAGATACTGATCTTTGTCCGTATTGTCCAGAAAGAGCAATGTTCTTGTATCCTTTACAATGTTATATATATATTTTTTTTCATTGGTTGGCATCACGAAAATTTCTGTTCAGGCGTGGAATGTGACTAGAATCCGACATCAGACGGTGTCGATAAACAAGAATCGCGTGTACTGCCTACGATTAATGTCATAAAAGTTTATGACGGTCTCTAAGCGGATACCAGAACTACATAAACCATTCGTAGGAGGAAAACACCCAGGTTGGGTCTGCTCTGTATATTGGTTATGGTAGGAGACAAGCGAGATAAGTGCGTGACATTCGGCATTCAAGAGCAAACTGAGATGTTTGAAAGTTTAATTAAGGCAAATATTGTCGTTTATGACTAGGGATATAAAATTCCCCTGAAGTAAGATAACTAGAGTGAATTATTTTAAACAGTTCACGTATAGTTAAATGGCATTTCTATTATTTTAATACTGCACGAATTATCATCATTTAGAGTATTTATTTATTTTTTTTTTTTTACGGCTAGTTTTAAAGACGATTATATAAGTAATTACGGCATTTATTACTATAATCGACGTTAATTCGGAAAAGCTTAGCTTATGTTTTTCTATAGATCTCGATATATTTTAATCAGTTGGAGTGCTCTTTTACTAGTAAATTAAACGTTATAACGAGTGACGTATTAACGAGGGTAGCGTGAACTTATGGCAATGCATGGGGATGGAACCGAAAAGAATATTGACTTCTCTTATGGCGCGGTGGGACCCGATCAGTTCCTCAGGGATTAGCGATGATAGCTTATCTAGGATTCCAAACTCTTTATTATGGATTGTTTCGTCATGGCGTTACTATACCAAAGAAATTTTTTTAAAGCAATAGATATATTATTTATCTTAGAATTTTAAACTTATGTTAGATTATATGAAAGGCTACATACATTTAAATATGTAAAAGAATTGTTTCTATCACTGTATGATACGTATTCTTGTACAGTACACTGCATTCATAGGCTACAAGAATATGTATTATATTTGCATACACGTAATCTAAAACTCGAATACTGATAATAGACAGCAAGTAAGAGGCGTACAGAACAAAATAATCCAATACTGTAATAGTACTGTACAAGATATACATAGAACAATACACAGAACACCAATCCAGGAATGCGAACGGTATTGAATTAGAATAACATATAAGAAGGATCTGCGACAGTAAAATATATATTTGCATACACAAGACATATAAACAATACATAGAACACATAATCTAGAAATCCGAAACACAAGAAATATACAAAACTTGGAATATTTGCATATAGAAGACACGTCACAAATAATTCAGATTAGAACAGAGTGAAGTGTAAACGGGCAAATAATATAATTTATTTTAATTCGACTCTTTGCAGATATGGAAGAAAACTACAACAAAAATGCCCCGGATGTTTAATTTTGCACCAAACAAACCCATTGTTTGGTATCGAAGGCATTTACTTGATTCAATTAGCGTTTGCGTTATCTTGTGTCGGGAAATTAAATCTCTCATGGAAGAGTCGCTAATGGCAGCCATTGCTACATTTCTGCGTCCTTCGTGTAATTGGCTGGATTTTTACTATTGTTGCTCCCCTTGTGACATTTTAATTTAATTTACCTTCCACCTATATCTGTCTTTAAGGCAGGAATCCCATTCCTTCTAGCTACTAATGAAAAGTTTCAGCCTTGCGAACAGTCTTCCAAGTAGTTTTAATTCTGTTGAGGAATCGACATCATGGACACGAAACCTTGATAAAGTATAAACACAGCTCAAGGAGATAAAATCCGTTAAAGATTGTATCGGGCTGGATAAAGAGACTTAACAGAGGTACAAACGGGGCTATTAGGGGGTAGCCATTCTGTAGACACATCAGGGAGCAAACCTCGTTAAAGAAAATACCATCAGGGTCGATCTGTGATAAAATATATCCCCTTTAAATATATATTTTGAGATAAATCATATTTTAGATTATGGAGCAAACTGTTAAACACGAGAAGGGGTGTGTAATTTAAAGTATAACAAGTAAGTTAATACTAGCATTTTATAATATTATAATAACATATTAGATGCTAAATTCGATTCAAAAAGTACTAAAGAATAGATTTAAAATCCTTTAAAGGAGCAAAAAATCTGTTAACGATTTGTATCAGGGCAGATAAAACTGACTTAACGGAGGATTAAATCAAATTAGGGGAGTGTCGAGTCGCCGAAAAACATTCAAATTTTGCCAAAAACTTAACGAAACAAGTTGTGAGGTCCTAAAGTAGCCAAAATCTGTCAGTGATCTGTATCAAAGCAGATAAACTCGGATAAGGAGAGCTTTAGCAGGAGCCAAAGCCAAGCTATTTAGAGGATAATGGCCCTGAAAACTGACATTAGGGGACAAACCTCGTTAAAGGAAATACACCAAGGAGTCGAATCTGCTATAACACATATCCCAGACTAAATCCAATTGAGTAGAAAGATCCTTAAAGGTGTTAAAATCTGTTAAAGATCCTCATATAAAAACTCAGTTTAAAGAAATATGGATTTAGGACTTAAAAAAATTTATGCTATTCTACATCGGGAGGGTCCGAATTTATCAAAATATACGAATGTAGATTATATACAAGTCGACCCACTATAACATTGTTGATTATTCCGTTTTATATGAATTCCATGTTGTACGAGTCACTTAGATTTTACAAATATGTGTGCCAGGCTGTGAACGGCTCACGTATTTGTAAAATCTAAGTGACTCGTACAACATGAAATTCATATAAAACGGAATAATCAACAGTGTTATAGGGGGTCGACTGTATAAACACATTTTAAAGTCACTAAAATCTGTCAAAATCTCGCATCGTGGTAGAAAAAAAGGAGAGAGAGAAAGATAATTTAATTCAGGAAGCGTTAGCAAAATAACGAGCTCACTTAAGTTTATACCGAGAAGCTAGAACGCAATTAATTCTAATTGTGATTAGAATTAATTAGCATTTTTTTAAATAACTAATTAATTTATTATTCAATACCGTCATCAAATTACTTTATAACATTAAAAAATATATGAATTTTGGAGGGGGCTAAATTCCTCAACAGCTCGGCTTGTCTGTCACCCCCCCATCAAATTTGGTAGGCCCTTGACAAACAGTAAAGGTAATTAACACGTGTTGAAGTAAATCGGGTTCGAACACGTTGAAAAACCTCGATATAGCGACATAATAATAAGGGGCCCACCCGAAATTACGTTTTAGAAGGGAGAAAGATAATTAAATTCCTTAATTAATGTAAGAAATTTCGTACTCACCAGCTAATATCCATGTGACGATAAACTTCCACGCATTCCCCATAGTGTCAGTCAATGTCAGTCATCGTCATTCGTCCAACAAGCAACTAACGGGCCCACAGACTGCACTACTCCATTTGAAGCTGTCAAACCCACATTCAAGTGAACCGCGCCACTACTTCACAGCTCGATGCATCCGATATGGAATGTAGTTCCTAAGATTTTTTTCGTCCCATTCGAAAGAATTCATAAAGTAAATATTAAAAAATATCGAAATTTGTTAACAAGTCGAATTTAATATAAATTTTCTATATAATTACGTCATTAATAAGGTATTTCTTAAACCGATACTTTGCTCCCTTGATGACGTTTAGGCGCATTACATTACACGTTAAAATTCGCTTATTAATAGGAAATGAGCACTTTAGGCCATTAAAACGAATTTAATTAAGCTTAAACAACTTAAATGTATTAAATTAAAGTTAATTGTTGCCGAAAATCGTTGAAAATTCTCTTCTATAATTCTGCCATTTCTGGAATTCATGGAGATTTTTCGAAAGTTGAAAACCCGAATGATTTTAGTAGCGGGGGAGGGGAAAAAAACGTTAAAAAAGGGGACATAAAACGGTAAGAAATGGTATCATTTACGTTATTGGCTTCATAATTAAGTTTAGTTGACAGAAACTGTAACATCAAACCCGGAACTTCTAAGTTATTGGAGTGATAATAAACGTCTTTAAGCTTTCAACAAAATCCTTTAAATCTTTAGCATCGCTGCGGGCTTTGCTTGAATAGTTTTGCTTCTCGAACCCTTCAAAAACATTGCTGTAGCTTATAACCCCCTATCCTAAGTTATTACCCTCATAATTAAGGTTCTTTATCGTTTGGAGTGTGCTGGCTTCTCTCAAAATTATTGGCATTGGCCTTTTTTTACTGTGGATTTTGGATCCTTGTAGTAAAATTCTCTCGAAGGTTTTTTTCAATTTGCAAAGATAAGAATGAATGCTTCAAGATTAAAATAAAGTAAAGGATATATTATCTAGTTATTTTAATTGTAAATATCACCAAACAAGATTTAGTCATATCTTTTGTATGAATTTCAAGATATGAGCCCTTAAACTGCCTCCTAAATATGCCCTTTACCCGGATCTTGTCTAATGTCTTTCTGTTAAAGGGGCGGTTGATGATTCTTTAATGAATTTTCCATCTAGAATTAAATTCAGTAGATTGTATGTCTTGTTTTTCTCCCCGTTATATAACCCTTAAAATATGATATATTAAAATAATTAGCGAGAGGGAAAAAAAATCGACACGTGCTACTAGAATAAGCCGTTTATAGGAGGAAAAAAACCTCATAAAATTTTTTTTTATATTTGCTATAAAAGTTTTGTTTTTATTATAATGAATCCCATATAAAACTTCATTAAAATGGTACAGACACACACCCTTCGCTTACAGGATATGGATTTATGACTAGAACTGTTGAAATTAAAATTGCGGCGTTGAAAATTCGTCAGGACCAATTTAAACCATTAATACTTGCAAGCATAATTAACTCGTAACAGAAGCTTAACGTTCGTTAAATGTGATTTTAACTTCCAAGTACGAGATAAAATCTTTTAAAATATATCCTTAAATTAGTTGAAAACTAAGTAAAAACACCAAGAAAATCTTTCTGGAGGTTAACAAATACACCGATGGTGCTATTAAAGAAGGAATTCCACCAAAAATTCGCTAATCCTATCAGACATCGGTCGACTGACCCCCCTAAAGAGTAAACAACTCCCGGAAGATTCGCAACTTGTAAGTACAATATTACCGATTTCATCCCTTAAGGGTTTCGTTTTAACGAATTACTTTATGAGAAAACTTTTTTTCAATGTTTAAATATATTAAGAAGAGTGAATTTCTAACAATACTTCATTCATATAAAGAACCGCCGAGAGAATAAACAAAAGATGTTATCGAAAATGTAATGGCGCCGGCACATAACACTCTTGGAAGACTAAGCATAAAGGTCTCCTTTATGCTGACTATTGACGGGTTAGTTTATAAGTTTAAATATATTACAAGCCGAGGGCGTAAATCATTTTTTTCCTCTTTTCTTTTTGGTCTTTCGTTGCAGTAAATTAAATAATGCATTTTAAAAATTTTCAGTCTGCATAAATCAATTGTTGACTCGCTTGTCACATAACGTTAGAGGCATAATTAAAACTTTTTTTTAAAGATTATTATAAATTATTATTAATATTAATGCTAATATAAACGTGTCAAATTAATAATAATTATAAATGTAAAATGCAGACGAAATTTAAAAAATTATTATAAATTTAATATAAAACTTCAAAATAATTAGAGGGCGCTTNAAAATTTAATTTGCTGCATTATTATCGCTGTAGAGAAAGGAAAATCTTATGTATTTTACGAGTACAGAAAAATATGTATCGCTAAACACAGATTTATTTCAGTAGAAGATATGATTCAATCGGGAGTTTTATGTTAAGATAACACAATATAAAACGAAAAATATTAAAAGCATAACTAAACTTGAAATAGATTTAATAAAATCTAACAATTAAAAATAAATAAATATAATATAATAATAGTTTACTTCAAATTTTTTTCGTTAATTTAAAAATATATAAAATTTAAAAATCAATTAATTACTTGTTAATTTAATTAAAGAAAAATAAAAGTAAAATAATTTTTTAATCGAATTGTTTATTTGATTTGTTTCAAATAAGCTATGAATGATTATCAAGAACAAAATAAAAAATTTATAAGTTCAAAAACTTATAAATAAAAATGGTAGTTTAGTGTATTTTCTAAAATCTGTATTAAGAATATTTATAACTTTTTTACTTAGTTATTAAAATAAAAATGTAAATTTATGCATTAAAAACGAAATTTTGAATTATTTGTTTAACTTACTATTCTGACATTATTTACATGTTCAAACTGTAGTTTTATTTACAGAGCTATTCTAAACGTGTAAACTTTTCATAAAGTAATAAAAATTGTTTACAAGTTCTACATTTTCTTGTACATAAATCAGAATTATAAGTAAAAAAAAAAATATATAGGTTAAAATATCTTACCAAATCTGTTATATTTTTGTTTTAGTTTCTGTTAACTTTAAAAAATATGCTTGTTTATTATTAACATATTTTAGAATCATTGGTTATTCAGTGGCTAGTTTCGAGTTATTAACATTCGCGTCGTGGAGTTTTATATTGGTACCTTGGAAAAAAGGGTTATATTCATTGTTAACAGGCAGAATTGATGCTATTATCGAGTGTTGCCAACAACGAGCGAAAACTTATTCAATCCCAGTGTTAAGTTATAGCGGTAAAAATTAGATTTGTATTTCCCCCCTTTCCGAATGTTGAGTTATTGAAAGTCCAGTTTCTGGGACTCTACTATAAAATGAAGAGTAAATCAATCAACTGTTAAAAACAAGATTTGATAAAATAGGTATTTATAAAATATAATTACCAGATAAATCAATTAAAAACAAATATTAAATACAGTATAATTTATTAAATATATATATATATTATTCGTCTCGATATAGACAAAGCGTTCTTTTCTATCCAGGCTCCCATTATGTCTGCGCGCTCTTGGATATTAAGAACGTAACACGTAAAAATGTTGTAAACTAATTAATTCCTTTATTTATTAAGAAATTAGTTAATATGTAGACTTCTTTTTCCCACTATACGCCTACTTATAAATATTATATAGGCCTATATATTTATAAATGTAAGGTTTTAACAATTTCATTTGTTCTATGTAATATTGCAAGCTTTATTTCAGTCATCTACGATATATTCTACAGTATATAACTTAACATTATATATATTATACAACATTATAAAGCATTATATAAAATATAATCTTTTAACATAGAGATTAACAAGATGAGTTCAAAATGGTGATAATAAATGAGAAAATTCTAGACCACTTATATGCAAGAAAATATTTAGACACTATAATCAAAATCTTACATTAATACAAGTTGTTTGCCACTAGATATTCGGAAATACAGTATGTGATCATCTTCGATGTATTGGTGACATTGTATTCTCCTGTGTATCGTTTTAGTCTTCGTATTTATTGATGTTCGTCTTGTACACATAAACTATTAGAGTTTATGTGTACATGGGAGCTCTGGGAGTTTCCATATCATGTTTTTCCATTTCTGTTCGTTTCTTGCTTATCGAAAGTGTGAATACTTCATGTTATCAACATCCAATAAGAAAAAAAACTTTGATATTTGTCCATATATTGGCCTATTGAGGGCCGTCGAGAGCTTGTATAGTACCCGGATAGAGCAGGCCCTTTTGCCATGTTTTTTTTTGAATTGCTAAGAAATAAGAATGCTATGTAAGCTGCTAATGAAAACTTTCGTAAACACACTTCAGTTCCTCTTAATAAACTTACACAACTTTTTTGCTCAGCTACCAGAATATGTCATCGGATTTGATGTTTACGCTAAATAATTACGGTTATTAGACTTCCTATTTATTGAATATTGAAAGAAAGCCTGGAAATTTTCTCCTAAAGATGTTAAACAAGATTAATATTAATATAATGCAATGAGACGTCTATTTATAAAACTAAATTTATGTATACGCACTAATTGAGGCATGAAATTCGGAAATTGAGAAAAATAGAGTTGGTAAAAAAGAAACTGCATTATTTTAAAGATAATTAATTATACAGATAATTTTAACCAATAAAACCTGCATTAAAATGAATCATAAGATTCATTTTGCATTGAAATGAATCATAAGATTCATTTCAATGCAAGTTTTGTTCAAATTTTAATATTCAAAATAATTACTGTATCATTTATTATATTTCCATAAATGTCATTAAATGAACAAGAGATTGAATATATTGAATATATATTGAATATATTTTCTTTAAGAAATATTAAAATATGCCACCGAATGTATTGAATTGTTGCTAATACAAATTCCTCTTTTCTGTGGTGAAAATGGATATCTCGTAGAATTGTAAATTTGTTACAATAAAAAAATATATTTTTACTTCAGTTTGTTATTATATTTTGTTATATTAATCGAAATAAATGGAAGAACTCTGTTTAAAAGCAGAAGATTAAGTATTAAGATTTAAAATGTATCGCATTTAAGCTGTCATTTTAATGCGAATCATGTAGGCTTTTTGTATTTTTAATAAGAAAGCCATTTTCATCTGGCAAAACAGGATACAGTTTAATCGGATAAAAAAAAAATGGCACCCAATCTTGACGGTATAATGAATGCGCTTAAATAGGCAAAACGCACACGAAAAAGCTAATTTTAATAGGTGATGACACGATAAAAAGAAGGAAAAATTATCGAAAAAAATTTTTTGAAAAAACAGCAAACAGATAGGATGATGATAATTTTTAAAAACACTCGAGAAAAATAATAATAATGTAGCTTGCATTTTTTATAATGTGTTATTCTTAAATTCGAAATACAAGATAAAAATTTAATGGACATTCAGAAGAATATTAAACGAAACGAAGACTAACTTAGTTATATGACAAATAAGGAAAAATAGATAGCCTATAATTCGTTGGTAAAATAATATTTTACCAACGAATTATAATAATATTATAAAATAATATTTTAAACAAACGTTGAGAACAATTTATATAATTTATAATGCTATACATATTAAAATAACGAGAATCAAATCTACACAAATATAATATCTAGTTATTTTATGATTACTTTATTCTTGAATTTTTTAAATATTCTGCATTTAAATTATTTAGTCTTTAATGCTATATTTTTCAGTATAAAGATTTAACAACATTTTTTTAAATTCATAATGGTCTTAAGTTGTATTTTGAATATTATTTAGTAAGTTTAAAGCACAGTGAAAATTGATATTAATTCATTCATTCCTATTTTATATTTATAAAAATCGACTGTATATTATTGTCGTATTGTCACAATGTCGGGCTGCAATTTTTAATCATATTTTAATTTAAAAAATTACCTGGCTTCCGGTCCAGACCCGAAGTTCTTATATAGTTAATCAGGGCCTAAGCTTTCCATATCTGGTCTCGATTTTCATCTACCTAACTCCATTCTGTAGATTAACGAAGGATAGACGGACAAACAACAGTGGGAATATATAAGTCTGCAATTAGGTCTTAATTGTTTAAAAAAGTTTTTAAAACTTTTTAAGAGCCAATAGAGGGCGTAAATAAAGAGTAAGGAGAACTTTGATTGGCAAACAAAATTAAAGACTCGGATCAGGATGCAATCAAGTCTTACTGTATTGCGGTAAATAGTATTTTTGGAATTAACGATTCGGAGAGAGAAAAAATAAAACCTCTTGTTTTATTGAGGTAATTGTCTAGTTCCCTCTTCTCCAATCCTCTTGATCAGCTCATTCCCATGACAATGACGTCACATCACCAGGCTAACACGCAACTTAACTTTAATGCCGAAGAGAACGACCATATTTTCCTTTTCTAACACTCAAAGTAGAAAAAATAACGAGCGGTGAATAGAAGTTGATTAAAATTTTAAGATATTTCGACGAGAAGAAGAACGGCATTTAAAAAAAAAAAAAATGCGGCCCGTTTTTTTTTTAAACGTTTAAAGTACGCCGTCGATGATTGGTCGGTTTAAATATATTACCCATTCTATAATACGAATTACGTAATTGTTATAATGGATGCTAACAGTACACGTACTGTATTTAGGATTACTGGTACATTAAGCTTAGTACATAATCCTTTATCATTAATTATGCATATGACATTAATATATTATGCTGATGTAGTAAATCTGTTAGAAAATAAATTACATTCGGTGTAATTCATTAAGAGCGATCCTCGAATGCCATTATATAATGGGCATTAGTGTTTAAATTAGGGGAAAAGGATTCGAAAGATGGCACCGAGTCGTTACTTTTGATTTGGCACAGTTTTAGTATCACCAGGATTATTATTTCTATACTTTTTCGGGGGTATAAAATGTTGATATGGAACATTCCTTCAACTTTAAATTTTGTAATTCATTTATAACATGTTAGTAGAGATTTATTCAGGATTAAGTCATTAAAAATTACATGTTTAAGGATGAGCTGTGATTTTTAAAATAATTATTTTTAAGGATTTATTTGTAATTTTTGGTAATCCAGAACTATGTTAAATGGAAAGAAAAAAAAAATTAAGAATGTAATCGATGAGAATAATTCTTAAGGATTTATAGGATCATTAGTGATCTCTTAGAAGAATAGATCGATCTTTTTAGTGGCGATAATAGGATTTATTCTTAGGATTTCTTTGTTTAAAGTCCACGTTATCGTTAAATAAATCAGGAACCATTCACTGGTAACACCCAGATACGAATCTGGCAAATCCTCCAGGATCTTTTTTTTTTTTTTTTTTTTTTTTAAATTCGGGATTAAACCACTCGATACATACTAAGCCGAGAGATGCCATCAGCGCTTTTTCCACCCCTAGTTTTAAAGATCCAAGAAGAACATTTAACAAAAGAGAATTTTTATTTATTCCCATTTTACGATGGAAAAATGTGAAGTCCTTCTGTCGGTTCTCAAAAAGTAAGGAAGAAATTCATAAAAAATATGTTAAAAGTTTATTCTTAATAAAACCATTGTAGTAACAATACTACTGTAGTAATAAATAAACGAAGGAGGGACGTTTGCTTTTATTATTATTATTATTATTATTATCATCATCATTATCATTATTATTTCTTCTTCTAAACAACAAGAAACTGTGTTAACATCTACACATCACGTCACGATTCTCTAACAGCCATCTACTTCATCATACAAAGGATCATTCTTCTGTAGGATCTTTATCGTCTCCTGTTTCGCTCTCGTGTTCGCTGTCAGTAGGAGGATCTAGCCCTGTATGAACAGTCACTTGAACGTTGCGATTGATACTGACGGCAGGAAAGAACACACCCTCCAGATTACTGAATGCCATGGGTCCTTGATGATCGTCGTTTACGTAGAAGGACAACTGTCGTCGTTCCAAATCGAGCAGGACACCTATAACCGATCCGGCTTCGATACCCCCTTCGATTCTGGTGTGATGAACGTCCGCGTGCAGGAACCACGAGCGCTGATGATCGATGTACATGCTCCAACCCTTTTCGTCTTTACCTATTGAAGAAGAGTGGGAACGATTAGGATGAACGAGTGGCTTCCGTTCCTGTAAGGAATGTATTTATTACCTAGCATCAATTCTTTCGTCACGTCATATCTGCATACTCCGAATGCAGGATCGGCGTTGTTGTCATATCTGTCTATGGTCACCTCCCAATAGTGTACCCCGCGTAGGAATGCGATGTTTCCTAGAACAACTCTATGCTCGTAGCTGTCTGTCGTGACTGTCTGATTGTCGTTTGTTAATACAACATCCGGGTGGGATGCGTTGGGATCTAGGGTAAACCACGCCACTGCGGGGAAAAGGACAAAAAACTTAATTGCACCCCGGAATAGCGTAATGGGAGGGGAAGAGATTGTAAAAAAAAACATACCTTCGGCCGTCTGTATAGATACTGTCTCGCTATAAGGTCCTTCGCCGGTGCTGTTGTATGCTTTAACACGTGCTGTGTACACGCTATTGAAGTGTAAACCGTCCACTGTGCAGATGCTCTCTTTCCCGCAGTACACTTCCTGTACGGGAATACAAAATCACATATTAATACACGGTAAACTAGTAATATAGTTTGTATACAGTAAACCGCTTTCTAATTGGTGCATAACCAGAAAGATCTCACCTCTCTATTGTAGTTTTGTATACGTTAATTTCATACGGGTGGTCTTAATCAGCACCACGTGCCAATTTAAGTGACCAAACTCCCAATTAGGAGAAAGTAAACTTTTCGAAAAGAGAAAATTTGCAATTTTTATTAGGAGAAGAAAAAAAAAGGGGGAGGGAAGGACTTTTAACCTGTGAGCGGCCAATTACTCCCTTTTGGAAAGCAGTCGATTAGGGAGTCTGTCAACACTTTAGTATAGCATAAAGCAAAGAGACAAAGTGGTCTTCTAGTAAAAAGGGAGCTGACAGTCGACTATGCGAGAAGTAATTGGAAGCAGACGAACTCTGACGATCAATCTTTGTCACTTTGTCACCAGGACCAGATTTTTGTCCCAAATTTTCTCTAACTCGATATGAAAGTCATCCGTCTTATCGTCTTTACTTTTATTTCTATATTTGAACTCCTTGAAAGACGAAGAAGAAGAACAGGAGGAAGAAGAGATGGAGGAGGAGGAGGAGGAGGAGGAGGAGGAAGAAGAAGAAGTGAAAGAGTCGATTCGTTCATTTTGCATTTGGGAATTTACAACCACTGACAAGAAAATCCTCTACATCTTTTTGTTGAGAGGAGGGAGAGAGAGAGAGAGNTTAAATTAGGGGAGTAAAAAATGGGATTAAATTTAACCGTATAAAATTGAATACAGGGAGTGTGGCTAGTGTTAAAAAGAAAAGAAAAAATTAATAATAATAATCTACTTCCCATTTTATTGCTGATTAATTTAATCAATTTTATCTCGTGCATTAATTTTAATTAAGTGAACGGATTAGAAGTTCTTTATATAACTTATAATAATTTCCTAATTGTTGGAGTTGTGTATAATAATTTCCTATTTGTATGATGAAGTGTAGTTTCCAACTGAATTCAATTTTCGTTATAAGACACTTCTTGACGTGTAGAACAGTTTGCGCAGTCGTTCTCCTAACCTGTCATCACCATCCATCTCTTTGTAAAGATAATGCGCCTGATGTAATTATCAGTATGTTTGCCAATTGAACTGTAAATTGGCTATAAATATGCACTGTTTAACGACGTCTGCAACAACCCATTGTATAAATCCCCGTAGAAAGTCTTCGTCTTGTTCCATTATCCAATCTAAGTATATATATACAATATATATATTTTGTAAAGTTTTTATTAAAATTTATTGAAATATTTTGAAAAATGATGTATAAATGAAATTATTTTTAAAAAAAATTTTCAGAAAAGTGTATAAAATACATTTATCACTATGAAATATATCACGTGATACACGATTCAAATATGAAAAATCGGATTTACCTATCAATAAATGACTTATGAATGACGTAAAAGACGTATTTACGATTTTGGAAATCTTTAAATCAAGTTTTATCTATTTTAATAAAATTTATAAACGTAAATATTCCTTCTATCGATTTCCACTTTTTATAACTGGAGATTTTTCGAAAGTTGAAGACCCGAATGATTTTAGTAGCGGGGGAGGGGAAAAAAACGTTAAAAAAGGGGACATAAAACGGTAAGAAATGGTATCATTTACGTTATTGGCTTCATAATTAAGTTTAGTTGACAGAAACTGTAACATCAAACCCGGAACTTCTAAGTTATTGGAGTGATAATAAACGTCTTTAAGCTTTCAACAAAATCCTTTAAATCTTTAGCATCGCTGCGGGCTTTGCTTGAATAGTTTTGCTTCTCGAACCCTTCAAAAACATTGCTGTAGCTTATAACCCCCCTATCCTAAGTTATTACCCTCATAATTAAGGTTCTTTATCGTTTGGAGTGTGCTGGCTTCTCTCAAAATTATTGGCATTGGCCTTTTTTTACTGTGGATTTTGGATCCTTGTAGTAAAANTAGAGATGTTTAAAGTGGAAATTTGACAGCTTTGTATAGCTTGCAAATACATCCTTACAGGACAATTTTCTATACAGTATGTTTTTATATATAATATAATATATTGGGATGTTATAATATACTTAAATGTATCTTACTGTATTTAATTAAAATCATTTGCGGTTCTTAATTAGGCCCTAACACGGTGAACAACAGGATCATTTGGTGGGGCCTTAAAAATTAAGTACTTTTTTTTCGATTTCTCAATTTTACGTAGACGAAGTACAAAGTTAATGCTCCACATAAGCAAATTTGGTCCTAATTTTTAATTAATCGTTATTAATATATATGTATATATAAATCTTTCTGTCTATAATCAAATTGTGTGTTTAATTATTAAAAATTCAAATATCTTAGATAACAAACCTTAAAAATTGATTTGCATTACGATGGTCCGTATATTGTAAACGTGAAGGTCCTTTATTGCAAACACATTAATACCTTTTTAATGATATTCTTGTGTGATTTAATGGCAATTTATTTATTGCAAATTTATTTTTAATCAAAATTCAACCATTTTTAATAATAATAATAATAATAGTAACAAAATTGGTCTCATACTTAATTGTATATTAAAATCCGAGACAAATTAACTTTAATCAGTATCATATTATTATATATCTATGAAGCAATATCTGGGTCTAATAACATATAAAATTAATGCTCATAAAGGTGCAATTTGCTATTTTTCCAATTTATTTTATCTGCCATTTATATATTTTGGCACATTATCTCTTTGTAGAAAAGAGTGCAAAGTTGGTGATGTAGTGCTTCCTTAAAAAAAAATAAGAAAAATATAATAAAGATAAAAAAAACCCATCTATTTACCGGACAGCATCAACAATGGGGTGATTGCCGAGCAAGGGATTAAAATTCCACACTGGCCTCTCCGTGGTCCTGATAAATCTCACAGAAGTTTTGAAGTGTTCTATTGAGTTGAATTTACGCTAGAGAACAGAGATGCAATACTCTTCAACCCAAATCTGGGTCATTCTGTGTGTGATGAATGCATTCATTTCTTAAAGAATGCATTTACTGATGGATAAAGTCAAGCATACACAATTCAGGAAGAGATAAAGGGAACAGATGAAGGAGGAAGAAAATAAAAAATAGTATTGCTCCTTTATAACTCCACGTCAGAAAATTTTTCGAGTTGTATATTTAGAAAACGTGTGAATTCATTAACATGCCAGAAAATACAGCAGGGATGTAAATATAATAAAGTAAAGCGATCCAAAAACAAATGCAACTAATCATTAAAAATTCTATTTTTCAAGGTTATAAAAATTCAAAAAATTAAATAAATAATACTTTTATAGCAAATAAACTGGAAGTAAACGAAAATGAAGAGAAAACACGAAAAAAAATCCTTTAAAAAATGGTTCAATTATCACACTCTTGTGTGGCTCCATCTGTTGACACGAAACTACACCATAATTTTTTAGACTTAATTGAAAAATTATAAAAAAAGAGTTAATAATTAAATTAAATTATTTTTATTATATTTAACGTGAAAAATATCTTAAAAATTTGATTAATAATGTTTAAAATTCGTTATTAGTTATTTAAATGATGTTTGTATTGTTATAGGCAAGCCAAACTGAAATGATTTGATTAGAAATCTCTTAATTTTATTGACAACGAACTGTTAAATTGATTATAATATTCTAGTTAAAGGGGGGAATTTCCGTAGATCTTTTGAAATCCTTTCTCCTGGGGGAATATAGTCTTTCCCTGGATAAACATTGCAAGTAAATGATTGGTAGATTGTTCAAGTTAACGAATATAAATGAAGCAAAAGATAAATTTCACTAGAGAAAGGGAAAATTTCAATCATTAAGCTTAAGCCATCGAAAGTCACAAGTTGATCACATGATCCGCTTTCTAATTAAAACTTCTAACTTAATATTTATATTTATTAATAAAAACTATATTAAATTGTTATAATAATAATAATTATAATTACATTTTTATTATATTAATAAAATTTAATTTAATTAAAAAAAATATATTTATAATTTTACACCTGCTACCATCTAGTTGACGACATTAGAATTAATTAGTTTTTAAACTTTTTAAAGTTTTTATAAGCGTTATTTTAATGTTAAAAATTTAATATTAATTTTTGTTTGATTTTTAAAATAATTTTCAAAGATAATAATTTAAAATTTTAATAATTTTATGATATAAAATTTCGTTAACTTAATCGCCACTAGATGGCGAAAGTAGCGAATTGTCTTATTAACCAGAGAACGGAATACGTTTACAATTATATTTATTTTATATTATTTCATATTTAAGAATTTAATTAAATTATAAATATTCATATTTTGAGAAAAAGTTTATTTAAAGTAATAAGTAAATTCCAAGTTTATACTTCCAGACGGTGTTAGATACGATCTGAGTTTAAGTGTTGCCAATTCTTAAAACTTATTTAAAAAAAAAAAAAAAAAAGTTTTTAAAACTTTTTAAGAGCCAATAGAGGGCGTAAATAAAGAGTAAGGAGAACTTTGATTGGCAAACAAAATTAAAGACTCGGATCAGGATGCAATCAAGTCTTACTGTATTGCGGTAAATAGTATTTTTGGAATTAACGATTCGGAGAGAGAAAAAATAAAACCTCTTGTTTTATTGAGGTAATTGTCTAGTTCCCTCTTCTCCAATCCTCTTGATCAGCTCATTCCCATGACAATGACGTCACATCACCAGGCTAACACGCAACTTAACTTTAATGCCGAAGAGAACGACCATATTTTCCTTTTCTAACACTCAAAGTAGAAAAAATAACGAGCGGTGAATAGAAGTTGATTAAAATTTTAAGATATTTCGACGAGAAGAAGAACGGCATTTAAAAAAAAAAAAAATGCGGCCCGTTTTTTTTTTAAACGTTTAAAGTACGCCGTCGATGATTGGTCGGTTTAAATATATTACCCATTCTATAATACGAATTACGTAATTGTTATAATGGATGCTAACAGTACACGTACTGTATTTAGGATTACTGGTACATTAAGCTTAGTACATAATCCTTTATCATTAATTATG